GAACCACCGCCGACCCAACATGGCCTGCAGACATCGACGAGCTCGAGGAAATCATGTACCAAACCACCGGTGTCCGGTCACGAAAGTTTGCCGATTCCGTCAACCCCTGTACGCGAGAGGTCTCTGGTGCAGGTCGCAAAAACGCCGCCGAGTGGCTAAGGACCGCCTTTCACGACATGGCTCCTGCAAACGTGTACAGGGGAACTGGCGGCATGGATGCATCTTTGCAGTATGAGCTGGGATCGAGTGACAACACAGGTCCAGGCTTCGGCACCACCATGACCTTCATGGCTCCCTATTTGACGCGCAAGAGCAGTATGTCAGACCTCATCGCACTTGGCGTCTACACATCTGTTTTGTCTTGTAAGGGCCCATCTGTTGCCATACGAGCCGGCCGCATCGATGCAACAGGACCGAACGACTCTGGCGCCGTTCCCACACCTGGAGACTCGACTCCAGTGTTCCTGAACCGGTTTGTTCGCATGGGTTTCTCTACAGCAGATATGATACAAATGACGGCGTGCGGTCACACCATCGGCGGTGTTCACTCGGCGGACCATCCCGATATCGTCCCTGCTGGCCAATTCACAAACGAAGTTGCCACCTTCGATACCACCGATGCCGCGTTCGATCCCAAAGTCATCACCGAATATCTCGCCGGTACCACTCAGAACCCACTGGTCAACGTTCCCGGGACCCAGAAGGGAAAGAACTCCGACTTCAGAGTCTTTAACGCCGACAATAATGCAACCGTAAAGGCCATGACAGACGCCACCGTCTTCAACAACGTTTGTAAAGCAATCTTTGAGAGGATGGTCAATGTCGTCCCGTCCGGCGTGACTCTGAGCGACCCCATCCAGCCCTACCAAGTTAAGCCGGTACAAATGCAACTCACACTCGCCGACGTATCAACCCTGTCACTGACGGGTGTTATCCGTGTCCGCACGACCAACTTTCCCCTTTCGAACATCGCCAGCCTCACTATCAACTACAAGAATCGGAATGGCGGCAACGTTTGTGGATCTGGAGCTTGTGCCTTCACCATTACCGTTTCTGGTGCTTCCACGAACTTGGAAGAGAGCTTCGCCTGGTTTACACTTATGCAGAATCAACAGAATGGAGTCAGAATCCCGGTCTCATCTGGTATCTCATCTTTCACGGTAACGATCAATATGAACGATGGTTCCACCAAATTCTTCGACAACAATGGCAACGGTTATCCCATGCAGGACGCCATTTTCCTTCAGGCTGATCAGAGCTGTTTGACCCAGTCCAACGGCAATGCCACTTTCGTTGCCGCCGTCCGTAACGATCGCATCTCACAGCCTGTAAGCGTCAACGTCTGGTACAAAACAAAGCGTAGCACCAGTGTCGTGCCACTCCTGAGCAACATGACACTGGCCATGACACAGGGTGCTTGCCAAGGAGGTTATACTTTCTTCACCGTGACGACCACCATCCCGGGTGGTGTCAGTGTTGAGTCGACAATGGATTTAATCAGCGGAGACATGGTTGATTCTTTCAAGAAGGCCAATACCGTAGGTGGAACCTGTCAGGGGTGGTCTGGAGGTAGTTCTTGCAGCAGTATCACTGTCTCATCTGTTGGTCCGACAAGCACTGCGAGTGCCCCCAGCCACCGTGCCACCATGGGCGGGTACAAGTTCGTCTCTTGCTGGACCGAAGCAACAAACGGGCGGGCTCTCAAGGGCGCGGCGTTCGCCTACGACGGCATGACTTTGAGTAGCTGCATGGCCAACTGCACTGGATTCGACTACTGGGGAACGGAGTACGGACGGGAGTGCTACTGCGGTAACTCCTTGGACTCTACCAGTACTTCTGCACTCTTGGTCGACTGCAATATGCCCTGCTCTGGAGACTCAACTCAGTACTGTGGCGCGGGCAACAGAATCGAGCTGTATTCCACCACCGCCACCCGTACCAGCAGCTCGACCGCGTCTGCGACTGCTACTCTCGCCCATATTTCCGCCGTTGGACAGTACTCTTTGGTTGGTTGCCAGACCGAGGCCACCAACGGCCGCGCCCTCCAAGCAACCTCGACGGCAGCCGACGACATGACTCTGGAGAAGTGTGCTACCTTCTGCTCTGGCTACACATACTTTGGCACCGAGTACGGTCGCGAATGTAAGTAGCAGTCAACTCCTTTCAGATTCGTATCATCTAACAATATACAGGCTATTGCGGTAGCAGCCTACAGGATACTAGCAAATCTGCTCCCATCACTGATTGCAGCATGAAATGTGCCGGGAACCCATATCAGTATTGCGGTGACGGAAATCGTCTTGAGCTGTACAAGCTTGGAACCTCTTCGTCTTCCTCTCATTCTTCGATTGCCTCGGCCACGACAACCGCATCGAGCAGCTCGCGTATTTCCAGCAGCTCCTCGAGCTCCATCACTCCCTCAAGCACCTTTAGTGCTCTCAGTGCCAGTGTATCTTCTTCCTCCTCCAGTGCTCCGTTCACTGGATCGTCCACTTTCAGCACCGTGGTCTCCTCGACGAGTAGCGTCGCGTCGTCGACCCGTACCTCTTCCTCCTCCGCCTCAACATTGTCAGCCCAGGCCGTGTCAAGCTCAGTCTCCAGCAGTTCAGCGACTTCGAGCAGCAGTTCGTCTTCGACAAGCAAGCCTGTTTCCACCAGTAGCCTTGTCTCTTCTACCACAACGTCGAGCGCGACTAGCACTGTACCCACGCTTGCCCAAAAAGCGACTGTAGCCGCTTACAACTTGACGGGCTGCTGGACAGAAGGAAATGGCGTTCGTGCGCTGAGCCAGAACAGCTATGCCTCCCACGACAACATGACTCTCGAAAACTGCGCCGCCTTCTGTTCAGGTTACAAGTACTTCGGGACGGAGTATGGAGGCGAGTGTTATTGCGGTAACTTCCTCGCTTCGAGCAGCTCATCAGCTCCTTTGAGTGACTGCAGCATGACTTGCACCGGAAACCAGTACGAATACTGCGGCGCCGGCAACAGACTCACCCTTTACACCAACAACAACGACAAGGTTACTGGCCCAAGTCAACCTGCCACCGCCGGCGTCTACTCTTTCCTCGGCTGCCGGACTGAGCCAGCCCAAGGTGGCCGTGCCCTGAGTGCGAAGGCGACGGCTTCAGACAAGATGACAAACGAGGTGTGCGCGTCGTTTTGTGACGGCTTCGCCTACTTTGGCACAGAATACAGCGGCGAGTGCTATTGCGGCTCTGCCCTGCCCGACATATCCATTGTGGCACCTGTCAGCGAATGCAATTTGCTTTGCTCGGGTAGCAGCACTGAGTACTGTGGCAGTGGCAATCGTTTGTCTGTGTACAAGAAATGAAGAGAAGGTTTCGACATTTTACAGGAAAATGATGAGTCCATGGCGTCAAGGCATAGTATAGAGGTACGGATTGGATACCATGGTAGTGGATAAATATTAATTCATATAATACACTGGACATATTAAATCTCTTCACAATGCCGCTTTTAAATTCAGTCGGGGATGATGTCTATCATCCATTCTGTGGCTGACATCTTAATGTTGTCCAGAGGAGACATAGAGGTAACAATAACGACAATAATAATGAGAGCAGTCGAGATCATGAAAGTATAAATAAAAATAGCAGAAGAAAGGCGCCAGACATCATGATAGGAGAGACGATTACAGTAGAAGTAAAAATAACGATAGGGGCGACAGCAGCGAAGATAGTAAGGCAGAGGATACATGAGTTTACAGGAAGAGTAGTCCCTCTGGCAGCATCAAACGCGAGTTTCTCATGAAAATACTGAGAAAAGAATGTCAAATCGACTTCCAGTCAAAGGTTCTTTTTCTTGCCTCCTTTGGAGACCCCCTCACCGAAGCCCCGTCGTATGACACTCGGATGCAACGGAGTCACACGTCTCCTTCTCATCCTCGCTGAACGTGTTGGCGGTCTTATCTCGGGGCTCTATGAAGCTGCCCGACGCAGGCTATGCCGAGGACTTTGCTCGAGGCACGTAGCGACCTTAAACTAGGATGGCCGTTTCATCCTGATAGGGTTCTAAATGAGCTTCGGTCGTGTGGTTAGAAAGATGACTACGCTCTTGAGATCAGGCAATCAAGGACCGAGAGCGTAACCATGTGGCGATGTTCAGAGCAAGAGCAACGCCTGCTGACTGCGTTTCATTGTGATGCCCACACAGAAAGACACATCAGGGCTAACTGGTGAAGCATTTTCCCGATTCGCATAACATCGTTGGCGGAAGTGCCGTGTTCGAGTAGTCCGCTTCATTTCGCGCGGGACAGGAGAATTACACTCGACGGTCAGTCTACCGTCACGATGATGAACCAGCCCATGGAGGACGAGGACATGGCGAACCAGAGTTGGCATCAGATCCCTCGCTAGTGGCTGCACCGCCAAACCAGACGCGAAGTAGAGGGATACCAGAGAGGGGACAATACCAAACAGCAGCACTCCTTTCTCCCTCTCATCGTCTTGGCCTTGCCCATCTATAGTGAAGGTTACGGCTCGGCACTGAGGTCGAGCGTCTGCTTCTTGAACAAGGCCACTCTCCAACAGTCATCAGTCGTGTTTTGTTGCCGGTCGTCACTGAAGAAGGCCTCGACACCCAAATCCTCACTTGGCCCAACCAAGCCAGGCACAGCGAACAGGAAGGAAAAGGTCCAAGTGTTCGTCGCTCTCTGGCCACGAATAGGCTTCGCGACGTTCACCTCGTGTCGTGGTGTTTATGGTCGCGGCAAAACAATCAGCCGATGTTCCGCAAGTTCTGGGCGAAGTAGCGATAACAGGAGCATGACGTTCTCTCCTTCTTCCCCAATTACGCCGCAGTCGTCTGCAACATCGTGAGATACGAGATAATGAGGCAGCATCGCGCCAGATTCTAAAGCGCAGTGACAGGCAATAATAAAGTCCCGCAGGTTTGCAGTGTGGCGGGCTTACCTAGGTCATTGCCACGGTCGGGTTCACGCAAATCACGAATACGATCTAGACATCGCAACACCAAGAATGAAGCACCTCATCCTCCTCGGGGCGTGCTACGTCGACACGATCCTCACGCAAGGCGAACCCTTCGCATCAGAGCACGTAGAACACCTCGCTGACTCACCGTTCCCAGCATCCCGCGCTTCCCCGAAGAGGACGCAAAATTGCGGGCGACAAGCCTGCGCGTTCGGCGAGGAGGCAATTGCCCCAACACGATCGAAGTTTTGCAGCAGCTGCTCAGAAACCCGCCAGGCGGCGGCGACGAGTCTTCACCTCAGGATGAGGTGCCGCAGATGCACCTCGTCTCACCCCTGCCGGAGCGCCAGTCGCAGGCAACAGCGAACATCATCGCCTCACTAACGCCGACGTCACCATCGTCAGGCCGGGAGCCCTCGCCCTCCTCGTCAGCCGTCAACTTTGACCACTCTCTCTTCCGCGCGAGCCACCAGGTGCCGGCGAGCTGCTACATCCTCCGCAGTGAGGCGACGGGCAGCCGGACAATCGTAAACCACAATGACCTCCCCGAGATGACGGCCGCCGAGTTCCTGATCGTCGCAGAGGCGTTCCGGGGCCGTGGAGAGAAGACGTGGTGGCACTTTGAGGGGCGGATCCCGGAAACGACGCTCGAGTGTGTCCGATCGTTAAGACGCGTGCTGGGCGCGAGTGCGACGGTAAGTGTCGAGGTCGAGAAGCCCGGGAGACCTGGGCTCAGGGAACTCGCCGCGGAAGCGGACGTCGTCTTTTACTCCAAGAGCTGGGCCGAGGTGAGCATCCCGCTTGGGAGAGAGAGAGCCAGGCGTCGTGAAGTTGACCAACACAACAGCACTGCGGCTACACATCTGCTGAGGCTTGCTTGAGAGGGGAGAGCCAGCCGCGAGCGTGGGTTTCCAATCGCCGCTTAGGAACCGTTGGCTGATTGTAGGCTAAACAGCTCTCTGGCTATGATCACGTGGGGGGCCGAGGGGGCATCGTGCCTATCGCTGCAAGATCAACGTTACGTCGAGCGTCCGGTCGAGCACCCAGTCCAGCATGTGGTTGAGTGAGTGACTTAACCCCTCAAGCGAACGAGTCGTTCTCGACCGCTCATCTCTCGCTGCGCTTACGAGGCAGATGTTGACCGACACTGACACCCTGCAGCTCGGTAGGTGCTGGAGACACGTTCGTTGCAGGCATGCTTTACGGACTCATTTGCCGGGAGCGTTGGGAGCTGGGAGAGAAGCTCGGCTTCGCGGTCGACCTGGCCACTCTCAAAGTCCAGCGCGAGGGGTTCAGTGGGCTGGGAGACGATATGCAAAGTCGTGCTAGCGGTGGGTCGTCCGTATCGGATCAGGCCAGGCAATGAGCCAGCTTCGTCGCCGCCGCCGCGGCTTCTCCGGATCCTGCCCCCCGATGCCGTAGATGGTCGCCTCGGCCGTTGAGTTGGAACGGGGTGGGTGGACCAAGTGTCCCGCAGTCGTCAGGATTCGGTCATCTGCAGAACTACATGGCAACAAGCCGAAGCCTGCGGTCCGGTGGGCATCCATCGTCGGTGGTCGCTCCTGATGCGTGTTCCGCGAAAGTGAAGGTTTGAGGACCCGTGTGGGGAACAAGAGGCGGTGTAAACAATGGAAGGTGGATGGCGGGCAAGCGAGAGAGAAGCATTTCTGCGACGGGTCAAGTTGGGCTAGAGGCGGACTTCACGGCATAATGTGTTGTGAACATTGCGGCTGTCAGAGACGCAAAATTGGCCCAAGATTGCCGTGTCTTTTGTCTTCAACCTCTTCGAGCCGCCGCTGCACTTGTGGAGTGAAGGTGAGTAGATTGGGCTACTCTGCATTTACACAAACACGCGTCAGTGCAGATGGCGCATCTCACGCAGGCGCGGTGCAGGCGAGGCTGCTGATGGCCTGCAGATGCTAGGCAGGAGCTGCTTCTTGGATGCAACAGAAGGAAGACGTTGACGATGAACCAGTTGAGAGCCAGGGATGGCGAGAATCGACGAGAAATGTGTGAGGGAATCGATGGGTCGCAGGTGGAAGAACCGTCCAGCTCGATGACGAAACCCGTCTTCAACCTGTTGTCTTGCAGCAAACTTCGCCTGCATTTGGTACAGCCGCAGGGAAGCGCGATGTAGATCTCCTGTTCTCGGAGGAGGAACGGATACGAAGCATGGAATGAGTTGAATTCCGCACTGGAGGCAGTCTGGCGGAGGCGGAGTTTTCGGTGGAAAGGGGATCCAAAATGATGTCCCTCTCTGTTACGACTGACTCTGAGCCAAATTCAGCGGAGACGGACGAACGACGTAAGCTGTCGACTGGGAGCATCTGGACAGTCCGCCTACTAGAAGATTACCGGGGCATTTGCAGGGCGGTTGTTTGTGTTCTGGGCCCATGGATTTGCGGTGGCTCGAGATTGAGGAACGAGACCATCGATTCTTTTCTGCATCGCGTTGTCTTGTCGATTCGGTGGGGCCCATGGCTTGATTCTCATTTTCATCGTAGGTCTCCATGAACCCTTCCCACCAATTTCTCCTGGCCAGTCGGGCTTGGAGCGTCGTACATAAGTGGATTCCAGGCGAAAAAAAAAATTGACATGTTGGCGGCTTGATGCAGCGGAGGTTAGCCCGTGTGTGATTTCAGCGGCCTGGATGCTGCGTTTGGGCTACTACAACCCTCCGCTTTCTGACAAAATCCATCATGTCGCAAGTATCAGCTCTGGTTCACCGGGTCGCTCGTGTGCAATCCTATTGTGCTCATGCCGTAACAGGAATGGTCCGTCCAGAACACACAAGAGACCGAAGGGCGGCATATTCTGGTGTTACGAGTCGATCTCGCGTTGGCGTCGGCGGTGGACGATGCATACCAACAGCGCTGCTCAATATTTGCTGGATTTCAAAGTATCCGACCTCTCACCGCCGACGGATCTAGCGGGTCAACGAGTCTCATGAAAGGGGACAAACGAGTGACAGTGTATGAGAAGTTCGTGGTGGCCAAGGCCCCTACGCTACTGCATCGGGCGACAAGTTGACTAGACATGTACCGTGGGTAAGTGAGAGAGACAGTGCAGACCGTGCAGTGTGTGGAGACAAAGCTGCGTCCCAATTATGGCAGCACATCGCATTGAAAGCATGTGGCGGCTTGCTGACGGGTTGCGTGGTTGCTTCTCGGAAGCTGTGGCATGGAGATGCGGCCCCTGGTGCAAGCGATTGAATAGTGACGACGGTGCTCAGCAAATACGTCCTCACGTCGGACGTCAGAGGAACGGGCGGTGCCTGGTGGCAAAATGATAGGCCATCCACAATATCTGTAAATGCCTTGCAGGGAATCGTTTCCGGCCCTGCGTCCGCAAGGGTTTGGGTATCTGAAGAGGGTCATACCAGAATTGGGGGCTTGATGTGTCCTGGAGAGTGGATGATACGAGGCGTGTCTGTATCGAGCAGAGGAGTTTCTGCAGGGTCGAAAACATGAGGTCGTCGTCAAAGTGAAGTTGAGTGAGAGGCTTCTGCAGGATATGACAGGCAGGCGAATAGCGTGATGCCCATGCCATGCATCTTGTTCGGGAGTTTGAATGGGCGTGGAGAAGGATGAAAGTCCCGCGTGTCCTTCTCAATGGGTAGCCGTAAAGTGACCGAGGGGCATTTGAATTGATAGATGGGGGCGTGCGCGTTCGAAGGGATGGCGTCCGCAGGCCTTGGGAAAGGCGGCAGTGTTGCTCTTTCAGCAGACCAGAAAGCTAGGACAGGCCGAGGAGGACCTAGCATGGGAAGGGGGGGGGGGGGGGGGGGGAAAGGCAAAACCGAGGGAGCGGAAATCAACGGTTACTGGGAAGAGTAGCGTGCTGCGTAAGTTGAGGCTACTTTGGCAAGCCGCAGCAGAGCTGTGAAGCGAGTGGTGCACAGTACTGACTGGCGAAAGCTGACATTGGCCTGCGAGCAGGGTCGGGCTGGGGCTTTGGTGGACGCAGAAAAGAGGCAGCAGCAAACACCAGAGGGGTGTGCTGCGTGTGAGTCTGTCGGTCGCACCCACGCAACAGCGTTTTGTCAACCATGTCTCGTGGAACGACGCAACCTGGAAGTACTGGCGGGATGGGCGAAGATGTGGGGGGAGCAACCACACCACGGCGGCTAGTTTGCTTAGTGCGTGTATGAATGAGTGAGTGTGTGAGTGTGTAAGTGTGAGGGCGAGTGTGCCTCTCGCTGATACAGAGCCGCTCATCCAGAATCCATCCCTCTTCCTCTTGCCCACTGTGTCCGTCATGCGTGGGTGAGGACCAGACGAGCCAACGAGTCCAGGGGAGGAGGGGTCGAGGGCGTTGTCATCAGGGGCGTGTGGGCGTCCTCCGTCCCCCGGCCCAGCGAAAACGAGCCCAGTGACCTGAGTCCTGACATGGAAGGCAGTGTTGCACTGGACGATGGCTAGCGGTAGTGGTATGTAGCGGCAGCGGTAGTCGTAGCGGTGATGGCTTTGCTAGCGGCGGCGGCAACCGGCAAGGATGCGACTAGACAATTTAGTGTGTCGATGGGGAACTTGCGTACCTTACCGTAAGAAGCATAGGGAATCCAAAATCCCCATCGATGTCGCTGCCCTGCCTCATCGACGTTGCGTCCGTACAAACACACCCCCCTTCTGTCACTTCTCTCCCACACCTACCCCTACCATTTACACCCCCTCCCATTTGCCCTGGCTGAGATCACTGGATGGCCATTTGCATCGACATGCCGAGTCTACCTCGCCTGCAGGTCGACCTGTCGCCCGTTGACTTTGATACTTTGTTTGCAAGCTTGCTTGCCGTGCTTCCACCACGGACACACACGCGCGCACACACACACACACACACACACACACACACACACACACACATGGTGTATATATCTCTTCTGCAAATAGACGTCGTTTCGAACGCAAGGATCCGTCATCGTCACTGAGCGCCCGGATTGTCGAGCCCGTCACGCCCGTCCCCGTCGTCGTCGTCTCCTAGTATGGGCCGAGTCATGATCTGCAGCGTAAACTTGTTGGGCAAGCCTCCATGCCGCTCACCTTGGTCACAATCTAAGGCTCAAGCCAATCTCCGTCACCTTCTGAGGCTGTTCATTCCAGTCTTGCTAGTGGTTCGACGTAGAGGAGGGGAAAAAAAAAAGCTGGCCTCCTGATGCACCGAGTTTGAGGTTTTGATCCTTGAAGAGTTCCACAAAGAAGGCCAACCCGCTCGCATATGGATGGCCTGCACAGTAATTATAGCACGACGCCTGACGAGACGAAGCGGCACCATCTCCTCTTGGGTTGGTGAAATTGTACTACAGTTCTCCGCACAATTTTCTGCCCAGCTGATTAGTGGTGAGCAACTGACGCATCAAGATCCATACCTCCAACATTTCCGTGTCGCTAACCCTCAAACAACACGAGTGAACTTCGAGACTTTGACAGACAAGACGACCAGTCCGGCAGCCCGAGCCGTCTCTATCCCGGTTCCAGGCACTCCGCATTGAAGAATGCCTCGATTGCCAGTACCCGGCTGCTGCGGTAGACAACCGCTAACAGGGCAAAGGGTGCTGGGCCCATGGAGCTGGTTATGGAGTGGCACCGTCGGATACTTTCAGCTTTTTCTGCTCCTCTCGACTGCCTCGTCTTAGCTTCTCATTCGATAGCCCGCTGGGCCACGCCAACGCTAAAGGAGACACAGTCTTTCCTTCTCGACCAGGGTCTAATCATCTCCGAGCCAATCCCTGACAGTTCAGCGTTGGCTTCGCTGGGGTCACGACCGGGGCCAGGGCTGGGGCCCGCGTTCGCGGGTGACAGCCATGGCCGTACCACGGCTGACGTCTCGACATCTGTACCTAACAAGTGGTGCTTGCTCATGTCTCCAGATGGCCTAAAGAGATCATCGGGTCGGACTGTAATTGCTACCGCCTGCTGAGATTGACGGCCTGTTCATAGCCCGTCAGGCGATATCAGACCTGTAAGAACCAAAATGAAGTATGGCCAACCGCTTGCCAAATTCAATTTGCCTCTGTCGAAGCCATGCTGACAGATTGTCTCGTCAAAACATGGCCCTTTCGGTTGTCGTGCATCGCTCAAGATGCCTTAGCACTCGAGGTTGGGTACTTGATAAAGTGGACGACGTTGCTGTCGTGCCCCGTTGTATCGTCCCGAGGATAGGTGCTCCTGTCAAGTCCTTGCATCCATGCAAGGCGCCCAATGAGTCGGCATGGGATCTTTGGATGGTCCGCGCGTGAACAGTAGATCATCGGGCGGAACTGAGTTGATTGGGCCCTTTAAACGGTACTGGGGCCTGGAGATGAAGTCAACAAGTCGCTGAGACCTTCAGATTCCTGATTGTTGGCGAGGGTATCAATCCCTGTCATGT